CTCTCTCTCTCTCTAAAATAAAAACTATTAAAAAATTAATGTTTTACACAATTAAAATAATTTTTACAATATAACATTAAACAAAAATACAAAATACAGTAAATACAAAATCATTGTAAATTTATTAACATTATATTAATCAAAAAAGCAATTCATTAAATTGTATTTTAAAAATCAATTCAGACAATTAAGCACTAAATCAAACGACAATTAAACATAGTTATAGTTAATAAACTACTCGACAATTATACCATATTGGGGTCCAGGGGGTAGAGGTAGAGATTCTCGAAGTTGTGCTCCATTAAAAGACCGGCACTCGAGCACTGGACAGGCCGTGGATTCTGGTGGCCGATAAATAAAAACGACCAAAATCAAACAAATAATTAACAGTTGCTTTATATAACATTAAATCGCGAACAAATTGGATTGAGACAACATAATCACTCACCGCTTTCATGCATATGAAATCAACAAGGTCGTTTTCGGCCAAAGCCTGATGGCGTTTCTCGTGTTTGCCATCGATGGTAATCCAGGGCACGTATGTCGGCGACGGAGACAACTCACGTGTCTTACGGGCCATTAGCCGGTATATGTCGCGGCCCTTATCGCTGGTCATACACTCTTTAACGGCTGGCCAGTGGCCCGGAAACCATATGTCCGTACACTACAAATGTATCAATTTAGGTGAGTTTAATAGTAATATGAACTCGTGTTCATACTGTACCTCCATAGCGGCATTCTCTGCATTTTTCTTCATATGCTTGTTGTTAAACATACAGACTATGAAATTGATGACAGCCTTCCGGTGCGCTTCGGTCTTCCACCAGAAGTCCGTATAAACACATGACTGGAGACACGAAACAAACAATTAATAAATTACTTTTGAATTTATTTATAACAATAATTTAAATAACATTTATGAAATAACAATTTGCTATTAAAATAGCACTAGGACTATTACCTGTAATTTATTGCCCCGACACTCTTCAATACCATGTTGACAATGAAACTTAGCCACACCGTTGGTGTCATTATACTCGTCAACGTTGCCGAATGGGATCAACTCGACGCTGATTTGGTCGCCAAACAGCTCAAACGCCCGGTGCAATTGTTTCTTGATAAATTTTTGGCTGTCACCGCACAGTGTCTCGTAGTAGAGGGATAGGTGAAAACCTGTACACTGTAACATCAAGGTGGTCAGTTGTTTTTGTTATTGTAAATTTCAAATTAAATTATTATGGTTAATTTTATTTAATATAGTTAAGTATTGATAACAAACCTCGGATATGGTAAACAAAATTAATGCAATCCCTATTAATGTCTTATGGATATTCATGATTGTATTTTTACCATATAGTTATTAATTAATTAATTTTTAAATGGCGTTTATGTGTGTTTATAATTGCATAATTATTAAATAAGACATTTTTTATTTTTATTTTTTATTTAGATTGTTTTATATCATAAAATTAATTTTATAATTGAATAATGATAATTTAAATAAACAATGAATGGGCAAATAATTAGGACTTATTTAAATTTATATAAAGCATGTATTTATATTTAGCATGATTTTACATTAATTTTTATACAGTAATACAAGTTTTATGCAATAGTAAATCTATTAAGAAAGTAATTAAATGTGTAGATTTCTATTGTAACTTTACTTATTTAAATAATAATTAAATTAATATTTCCCATTTTTTATTTTAACTAAAACTATATATTTGTAATTCTAAATTAATATGCAAAAGTTATTAAATCAAATTAATTATTTATAAAGGTGCAATTATTAATAAATATGTAGCTTTTGAATCCTACTTTGTAAAAAATGATCATTCTGATCAATGATCATTTTCAAATTGAATAAATAAGGCAAATTTAAATATGTACATTTTATATTGCCATATAAACAATTGACTATTTGAAAATTAAGAAAAATAAAACTACAGTACTCATACTTTATTTTATATTTAGCTAGATATATTAATTTGGTAAATTACATTATGTTGATACGTCAGTTGATTCTGGGATTCTTATAGCGAATATTCTTTGGTCTTAACAATAGGTTTCTTAGCATTTATTGACAATCCTTAAGTGTATTTTATAATAAGAGACATATCTTGTTAACAATTTAGTATTCAAATGCTAGTTTATAATGAGTCATACAATTCGGTTATTCATAATTATAAAAACAATGTATTCTTGTGCAATAAATGTGATTTATATTTCACTTTTATGTACTCACAAGTCACAAAATCAGTAAAGCATGTATAAAATTATAATAACAACAATTAGATTATATTAATACAAAATTTAAATAACTTTTCTCGTTGATAGTAATAATTTTAATATTAAAACAATATTATAATAACAACAATAAAACAAATCAATAGCAATTGTTTTTATGACGTTAAGTGACATGCAAAACAATATTAAATCAATTTTAATTGATCCTTGTATAACATGTCAGAAAATTTTTATACAATATAATGAAATGTTTTGTCGCATTATTTCAAATGTAATGAAAACATAAATATTAAAATTTATAACAATTGTGTTATACTTGCTATAAATAGGTGCTCATCATTGAGTCATAAAGTGATAGCTTAATAAACGGTAATTTATGTAATAAAATGCTGCAGTGATTTAACCCGTGCTATTTTCTATAAACTTAATTTAAATCATACAAACAATTGTGTTATTCAGACCAATTAAATAAATATATTAGTACAATAAAGTAGTGCTAGTCTGGTCTTATATTACTACCAAGCGCATTTGCTGCTAATAAAATACGTATGTCAATACATTTTATTTAATCACTGTATATACAGATGCGATGATTACTTCAGCTGTTAAACATAATTGGCGGCGAAATATCCTATCAATTATATATACCTTGTATTGAATTTCACCGTGTATTGTGTTTAGTGTAGTTTGTAATAAATTAAATGACTGTAAAAGTGTAACAAAATATTATATATTATATATTATGTAAGTACATAATAGACGTTAATGTTTGCAACAACAAAAAAATCTCATTTGATAGAGAATTATACTTTTATATAACTTTATATATAAAAAAGTGATGAAAATGAATATGTTGTTTGAGAATATGTAGTCGACGTGTATATTCATGTCGGATATTGATTTGTTAAACATGTTCCACCGTTATATTTAAGTGTTATTATACTTATTTTTACCATTCTGATATCTCAGACAGGCACCTAAACAATTTTGTATTGTGTCATTTATTTAACACGGTCAAATTATTATTAATAATTAATTCTTGCGATATTAGGCGCAAATTATAAAGTGCAACTTTATTTTAATAATTTTTACATCATTAACTGTAAGAACTATTACTATCAACTCTTACTATTAAATAATAAATTAATCATTTCTAATTAATACTAGTTAACACGTTTATTAATACCATGCTTATACATTTCGAAAACAGCTTAGTTGGCAATGAACACATTATTATTGACCATAATTATAATTGAATGTTGAATTAACTTAAACCATTTAATTGGTTTAGCTCGGTGCATGATTTGTGACCAAGATCTTAAACTACTTGTTTATAAACTGCGTACAAACTGTAAAGACAGTACAGTAGTAGCAACTATTTACGAAAACAACTGTTTAAAATTAGTTTCCTATGTTGTGTTTAAATTAAAACAATTATGTTATCCGTTTACACAACACGACAACAACACCGGTGTCTATGAAATGCATTAATTTAATTGATAATTGAGTGAAAAATACAACAAATTAACTGTTTATGTGTTTTTAAAATAAATTCTCTCTCTCTCTCTCTCTCTCTCTCTCTCTCTCGATATTTTACTATATGTTATGATTATTTGAAGCGAGTTTTTAATTTTAATTCAAAAAATAAGTTTTTTAATTCACTAGAATTTTACACATTTTTATTGTTTTACTATTTAAACTAAAAGTGGAAAACATTTATATTTTACAGCAAAACATTAATGTTATATAATTTTATGCCAAAACATGGATATATAGTCTCATGATATATATAAGCAGATATATAAATCTATGTAAAAGTTATTGAAAACAAAATCATTTCATTTTTTTCATTAATTGCAGAACATATTAAATTTCGCCAATAGTTTGATATAACACTCATCTCTCTCTCTCTCTCTCTCTCTCTCTCTCTCTCT